GCAGATCTAATTTTGTGAAAAATTTTCCTTTACCCAGCTGAGCCAACATGTCCTTCATTAATGGTAGCGGGTAGAGGTTCTGGACACACATCGCGTTCAAGTTCTTGTAATTAACACATAAACGAAAGGAGCCATCTTTCTTTTCTCTGAACAAGACAGGAGCAGCAACTCAGGGCCTAGCAGGTTCAATGAATCCCCTCTTCAAATTTTTGTAAATAAATTTCCTCAATTCGTCCATTTCCCTAGGGGTCATTGAATAAATCTGAGGTTTAGGGAGTTTCGCTCCGGGAAGAATATCAATGCTGCAGTCAGTGGCACGGTGTGAGGGTAATTTATCAGAAGACTTCTCACTGAAAACATCTTTCAAGTCCCAGTACTCTTTCGGGATTTTCTCCTCCCTCTCAATTTTTTCTTGCCCTCTGGCTGCCAGGTTGGGGTCTGCATTATTCAGTTTGGGAGCCCCTCCTTCTCTCTCAGGGGGCATAGCAGACCAGATGCGTAACCAACCCTTCCTCCAATTTATGTGTGGGTTCCATTTACGCAGCCAGGGCAATCCTAATATAAGGGTCCGGTCCATTCCTGGGTCCACAATAAAACTTATTATCTCTTGGTGGGTTCCCATCCACATATCAATAGGTTCAGTTACAAAATGAGCAGGGCTCCCTCCCGCAATTGACCCATCCAGCTGGCAAAAAGCAATTGGGACTTTTAGAGTTTTAAGTTTCAAACCCAGTTTTTCTACTATTTCTGGGCTCACAATGCAGCATGTGCATCTGGAATCTAAAAGGGGCAGCATTTTTTCTTTTGCACCAGAAGAGGGCACCCTTAGCTCAACTGGAATAGTCATGGGTCCCGATCGGGAACTTACCAGGCGTCCGTCATCAGAATCGGCTTTGCTTTCCTCTGAAGAGCAGGGCGAATCCTCCTCCCTCTCAACAGGGCAGAATTGCTGAGAAGGTTCCTCCCCCTTCATGGCAGGTTCTTTTCTCTTGCTGGGAGGTTTTTCCAGCTTTTTCTCTCTCCGAGGAGGGGGCTTTTGAGTCATCTTGGTGCGGCAATTTGTAGCGTGATGCCCCTCCTTCCCACAGCGGAAACACACGAAGGGTTTTGGTTTGCTTGCAGACCCACTTTTCCCTCCTTTTGGGGCTCTTGGGGGGGGGGGGTTGGCAGGTGGAGTTTTCTTGCTTTCACTATCTTCCTGGTAATTCTCTCTGGCTAAGTCAATCTCCACATCAGCAGCCACCTCATACCAGGGTTGCAGTCTGGGGGGTGGGGGTGTGCTACGGTTCACGCAGTGCTGGTAAATTTCTTTGTTTAACCCATCAGTGAAATGGTCTAACAATGCTTCTTTGGACCAACCCCTCATAAAGGCTGATAGCTCACGAAATTCTTGTATACATTCAGCTACTGGTCTCTTCCCCTGGGTAAGAGTTTTAAATTTGATTCTTGCTTTATGCTCTGTGAGTGGATCATCAAAGTGCTTTCTCAGGGCGGCCATAAATCTATTATAGTCTCTCAGTAGGGGGGAATCAGCATTATACAAGCCCACCATCCATGCTGCAGCCTTATTCTCCAAAGCCATAGTAATAACTCTTATCTTCACTTCATCATTTGGCAGTTCGTCCCCGTACATTTCCATGTAATTCCATACTTAAATGACGAAAAATCCTAGATCCTTTGATTCCCCCCCCAAAATTCACACTTAAGGGAGGAACTTTAGCCATCCAGCGTCTGCGCCCCCCCCTCCTCTTGGGATGTTTCTAACTGCAGTGACTGGGGTTGGTGCTGGGTCATCTTGCTTAGTTCCACCCTCGCCCCCCCCCGCTTCTCTTGGGTCGAACAAAGGCTCTGTATACCTCTCCTCTGTTTCATGGAGATCGGCTTCTCTCTCCAGTCCACTCTCGCGGGCCCGGCGCCTCTCCTAGGCCCCTTCAAAGAGTTTCATCGCCTGGGACATCATAAGGTTCTCCTCTTCAGGGTCACGCCAGTCAGCCGCTGGTCGTCTTGGTCTCCTCATAGTAATTCCAGCCAGAGGTTCTTCGGGGTCATCTTTCTGTCCCACTCCCCATGTCCACCTGGGCTGAACGGATCGTTCTTCCAAATGCAGGCCAGCTATTCTCTCTGTCTCTAAAGGGCAGGAGGATGCAGCTGCTCCCATATCTTCTTCTTGATCGCTGCCATGGTGGGACATCTTTTAGGTTTTGGGTGCACCCCCCTCAGAAAGTGTCAGCTCCGGGATGGGTGTGAGATGAGATCCAGCTTAATGTCAGGGCTACTTCACTTAATAACCAAGAAAGAAACCACTCAACTCCATTTTGCAGAATTAAGAGTACTTTTGCTGGTTATAAGTAAATAAAAGCTAAGCAAAGCTGGATCTGAGACAAAAGCGCACGCAAGAATAGATATCAAAGCATGACCCATTCCCCTCCCCTTGGTAACCTCAGCCAATACTCCAATCCAATTACTCCACAGGTGTCATGTGGGAGACATCT